TCTGAATTAAATAATCCCATTTCGAATATTGTCACTTAAATTGGAAAAACACCCTCGCGCATTAAACCCTTCGGGGCGGGCGCGCAAAAAGGAGGTGTGACATATGTCGCAAAAGAATTTTTTGAATTCGATTTTAACTACGAATTTTGATACCAAATCAGTCTAAATCACCTCTAATCTTCCTAAAAAATTGTATATTGACTCATCTATATATTTTCAATAATTTTCAACCATACCCAATGAAAATGAAAAGGGTCCCCTTTTGCTTAGATTTTTGAAATCTTGTATATATATATATATATACAAGATATATATATATGGAATTTCATCACCTTGTTTGTTAGCTCATCCATGAAATTTCCTTTCCGTCTCGCATCTAATATTGTTGATCGTGCTTAAAAACATGGAAGGGATCTTTGCTTGTGATTCTTTGAGAGAAAGAATCCTTATTTTTTTTGGTTTTCAATTTTTGTGTGTATTTAACTAATTTTGATAAATCTATGATTAATTGCAAGATGTTTGTAAGTTATGACTTAATTGGGGCATTTCCGTAAGAGTCTCTTTATTTTTCAATTACTTTACAAGTACTGGCTATTTTTAATTACTAGTCCAAAAAACTGGCCAACACACGCTATGTCGACTATGTCGCTTCGCGAGAAATTCAAAAATAGCCCGATTTACAAGTGGTCATTCAAAAATAGTCACAGTTTCAAAAGTAATCAAAATTTAGTCACTTTTTATGTAAAGGTAAATCTAAACGAAAATATTGTTCAAAATTTGGAAAATACTCCAGCATAATATACTGGAGTTCCAACATAAGTATACTGAAACTCCAGTATATTATAATGGAGTTCCAACATAAGTATACTGGAACTCCAGCATAATATACTGGAGTTCCAACATAAGTATACTGGAACTCCAGCATAATATACTGGAGTTCCAGTATATATACCGGTCCAATATAATATGCTCGAAGTTCATACACAGGTGCTCCAATCTCTAGTATATTATGCTGGAACTTTCCGCGTGTTAGAGTTTCAGCATAATATGCTGGAAGTTCATACACATGTGCACCGATCTCCAGTATATTATGCTGGACCGGTCCCTGTTACAGCAAAATAGTGTCTATTTTTCAATGACTTTGCAAATGCTAGCCATTTTTAAATGACCAATCCGAAAACTGGTTAGCCCGTGCTATTTTAAGTGTAGCTTCAGTCTATAATGGGCCTAATTAGAAGCCCAATCTAGAATTACTGGACTTGGGCTGCAACAGACAGACCCAATAAAGGTTTTTCTTGTAAAAATTGCACGGGACACCCTCATTTAATCTATACCCATTTTTTAAAAGTTTTAACATGTACCCACTTTTTAAACAACATCAGCCATCTTTCTCCTCCTCCTTCTCCTCCTTTGTTTTCTTCTTCTTCTATAATGATACGTATACCTTTTCTGATACGTATGATCTTTACCATGATCAGATCCCACTATTTGTTAATAGTCATGAATTTGGCATCAAGATATACAAAAATGGGTAGAGCTTTCCACTTCATCCGTTCGTATGTTATACACGACAACACGATAATTACTTACACGAATACATATAAGATCCTCATGGGCGAAAAGCTACTACAGAAACCAGGTGTATGATATCACAACAAAGTGAGGTGCTTTTTAACGCCTGTATGACGGGACTCTCTTTCCTTGGATACGTTAACTTCAGCTACTGGTAAAGAACTTAACCATTCAGCGATTACAAATAAATTAAAAATTTCAGCCAACACTAAAAACTTTAGCTAAAACATACCGAAGTTCAGCAATTACAAACAAAAATTTCAGCAAATAAAGAATAAAACTTCAGCTACTAGAATGCTCAAGTTCAGCAATTACAAACAAAAACTTCAGCCAACACTAAGTTTACGTGAAAAGCTTCAGCTAAAACATACTTAAGTTCAGCAATTACAAACAAAAACTTCAGCAAATAGAGAACAAAACTTCAGCTACTAGAATGCTTAAATTTAGCAATTACAAACAAAAACTTCAGCCAACACTAAGTTTACGTGAAAAGCTTCAGCTAAAACATACTTAAGTTCAGCAATTACAAACAAAAACTTCAGCAAATAGAGAACAAAACTTCAGCTACTAGAATGCTTAAATTTAGCAATTACAAACAAAAACTTTAGCCAACACTAAGTTTACGTGAAAAACTTCAGCCTAAAACATGCTGAAGTTCAGCAATTACAAACAAAAACTTCAGCAAATAGAGAACAAAACTTCAGCTACTAGAATGCTTAAGTTCAACAATTACAAACAAAAACTTCAGCACACCTGGTTCAACAATTTTTGCTACTTCAGGCCCGTCTGCTAGAATGCTGAAGTTTGCGTGATTGCCTTTGTTACTTCAGACCCGTATCTTGAAGTTACGCGAAAAAGTAGTTACGCTTGTAATTTTTTTTGCAATACGGGTAAGTTAAAACGTGACTCAAAAAGCGGATATAGATGCAAATGCCCCGTTTTTCTTTCGGTTGATTTACCAAATAGCCACTTTTGTGGCATTGTATTTTTGCTTGAGCCATATGATATTCAAACAACACGAAAACAAACTAGAAGAGGTGCAACATAAGTTTCTCATAAAAGATATATATTCAAATGATGTAACAAAAGAAAATTCATGAAACTATAAAGTTTGTTCGCAGAAGGACTAGAAGCCAAAATAGATGCACTATAAAAATTTCATTGCAAATAAAAAGAAGGGGGAAATCAATTTATCTAAAATGACCCACAAAATTCGGCAATTGAAGCATTTTGTCTTTGAGGAAATCATAGCAAGACCCAATTTCTTCAAGTACCCTTTCATCTGCACCATTCCTAACTATCGGTGGGAAGAAAAGCCCAAAAGCAGTGGCCACCACAAACCCAACCGTTAACGGCCCAGAAACGAACCAAGGCAACCGCCACGTGTCCTTCACAGCTCTCTTCACTCCAATTTCCACCATTACACACAGCCCATGAAGCACAAAGAACCACGTCATTTCCCACGACGGACTCACGCCATTAACGTAATAAAATATCAGCTCATGCATTAAACCGGACACGATAAAAGTTGCCAGCACGGCAAACCGTAGGGCCCATTTTTTACCGACTACCTCCGACAATGCTGACCTCACGGGGTTGTATATGGTGAGACGCAGCGTATTTGTTACCGTGAGGTTCCATCTTTTCCCCCAAAAATCTTGAAGGGAAGTTGACAAATAAGGTTCATTTGAAGGTGGCTCTAGCTCTAACCCAACCAAGATTTTAGCAATAGAGCTAGATAATGCAATAAGAATATCAATCATAAGAAACATCATAAAACAATAGCAAATCAAGACCAATTTTGGATGGGTTTGACTTTTATGGTGAAAAGTCAACCCCAAGAATATTGCAAGGAGCACAAATTCTGCAGCAAAATTTAAAGGGATTTTCTTGGCGGGGTTTGGCTCGTTGGATTTTTGTTTGGATCTGAGGGGAAGGGCAGCCATGGAAATGAAAACAGGAAGAGATAATTTTTTGGTTGCATTTGTTGTGGAGAGAGAAAGAGGGCCTTGATTAAAGGCAAAGAGGAGGAGCTTGAAATTGGCAAGCCAAGTAATGAAGAAAGTGGTGAGTGCTATAAGAAATGCAGATGAAAAATAAAGTGGGAGAATGGTGAAGAGGTAAAAAATGGGTAGAAGAGAAATGAGTCTTGGAATACCTTTTGGAATTTTGGCAGATAGGAAATAGCAGTAACAAAGAGAGATAATTACCGAGAGACAAACATGAGTTGATGACATTTCTTGGTTGGATCTAAGAGACCGTGTGTGATGCCTTCTTTTGTCTTTTCTTGACTTTAAATTGATCTATTTAACTTACCGCGAGCCAAACTTTGGAAAATAGTACTGTATCTTATTTTGGATAGACGTGCACAGTTCATGGCAAAATATGATTCTATAAGTAGGCTTTGACACTGGATCTTTCCTAGAAACTCACGTTAGATTAAAAAAAAATTGGCGACATCTTGTCCTTAAACAACCTACCAAAGTGAATACTGCCGTAGTATTAATTTATATTAACCCATTTGACCGAATATAAAGTTTGATAATAAAGAAAGATCTTTAAAACTTTATTCTAATATTTATATGGTCATAAGACTTTTGAAATTTGTAATCTTTACATATTATAATATTTGCGTATAGCTTGAAAAAAAAATACTCTAAATTAAATTGTTCTCAACTTTAGAAAGCTGAATTATGTTTCTTTGTTATAAGAAATGAAAAGAAAGTGCTGTCATAATCATATAAAGTGAAACATCCTTCCTGGATTTTGTGAAACATGTGGAAAGAGCACCAACAAGTACTTGTAGCAAAGTTCGAGCCAAACTTTGGGAAGTTCCGTATTTTGGATGGATGTGCACAGTGCATATCATTTTCTGGAAGATAGCAACTTTGATTCTCTGTCCAAGTAAGTAACATTTAAGATCCAAAAAATTGACAACGTCCTCTCCTGTCCTCAACCAATGTACCAAAATGTAATACTTAGCTGATAGCCTTTGGGTCTAATCCCTTTCTGGGCACCAGTTGAATCAAATAAAGCCCACAAAGGAGAGATTTTGAAGAAGGAGCTCGATTCTACCAGTAATATACAACAACATCAACAACGACCCAGTAAAATCTCATAAATGGGGTATGGAGAAGGTAGTGTGTACGTAGACCTTATCTCTACCCCGATGGGACAGAGAGGCTATTTCTAATAGACTCTCGACTCAAGGAGACGGAAAATGCGAGAAAAAACAATATATCAATACCATTAACAAAAATCATAGAAATAATAACATCTTAAAAACCAGAAAATAAATATCAAGCAATAACAATAACTAGTAATCACGGCCGGGTGCGATGTTTTAAAATAACTATATCCCAGAAAAGAAAACAACTGCAAGTAATATAAATCTAGCACGACACTTGCACCCAAGCTGGGCCATAACTCTTACGAACTGACCGAACCTCAAATTTGAAAACGCCCTCAACATTCAAAAAACACACTTTTAATGTGCGTTTACATAAAAAAATGCACAATGATTATATAAAACACGAATAACCCTTCTACCCCTAAATCCTGCTACCTCAAAAAATAGTCTATCCGAACTTCAGGATACTAGTAGTTATACATCGTCTGCGTATTCATGAGCATGAATCATTGGGAAAATTTCCACAATCTAAGCCATACATCAAATGGACCAAACGCTACTTACATTCAAAAGGAAATATCTATAGAAAACTAACAGGAAACAAAATTGGAAAAAGTACAGTTGTTCTCCAAAGGTGTGTACTATCTTCCTGAGCTGATAACATTGTGTACTTAAATCTATATTCGTATCTAATCACATTTCGCACTTTACTATCATTCATCTAAAAACACATTTTCTTTGTTTATTTTCGTTGGTATTGCTTTCTCCCCTTGCTTATTCTCTGTCCCTTGAGCTTGTAAAAAAGACAACTTCCAACTATTGTTCATTATCTGGTTTTGTACCCTCATTTTCAACTTCATGTGAGAGGCCACTCTGTTGTTCTGTATCCTCAAGTTGCGGGGATGGGGGCATATCTGATGGTATCTCCGCATTGTCAGCATCCGCGCAAACATCTGTTGGTATCTCTGCATTTTCATCATCCCTGTGCACATCTGTTGGTATCTCTGCATTTTCAGCATCCCTGTGCACATCTGATGGTATCTCTGCATTTTCAGCCTGCTCCGGGGATGCTAACACATCAGACGATGCGTCATCATCTGCCAACTTTGACACTTCAGCAATTAGTTGGCTTTCTTCATCTCCATTGACAGACGGTGCTGGAGATGCATCCACCACAGGAGAGGATGCTCCACTAATTGACGGTGCAGGGGATGCATCAGGCGAAGCAGCAATCAAGGGGGACATTGAACCATTTGTAGATCGTACTGGTGATGCATCAGTTATAGTACTCGCAGGAGATGCAGACTCCGCCTCTTCCGCTGTCTGCTGAAGGCTCCAGTACATTATGCTGGCAGTGAGAGTAAGGATCATCTTTTGGTTAACCTGTCCACCACGTGACCCCAAGAAGGATAGTGTTACAATCAGATCTCATGATGACATCTTTGGAAAGATCATAGGAAAAGCTATAGTGTGCATACTTCTCACTGTATTGTTAAAAGGACATAGAATTGAGTTGTTTTGTTATAAACATGTTCTGAATTTCCAGAATGGTTTTACTTTTTCAACCCTGCAAAAATTGTACTGCATTTGTCTGGTCTTTGTTAAGACCCTTATAACCCACTCCACCCCCACCCCCAGCCTAAGAGAGAAGTTAGCAAGATATTCCAGGATATGGTTCTTTAGCAGTAGCAAAGAAGTTTGCCTACTTTAATTGATTCCCATGGACACAAATGACTAGCTGCAATTCGCCATGATAGAGAGTACATAACAAGCAACATTATAGCATTCTCACCTCCATGATATCCTCAGGCAACAGAAAGATAGAGCACCCAAGTTTCCGTGCAACGCTGATGATATAAGTAGCATTCAGTTTCTTTGCCTCATCTGTTAGGAAGCAACAATAGAAAGTTCAATTCAGAGCACAGCACCCACTAGATGAGAAGTACAGATTAAATTTCTAAAGAAGTAGATCGAATAAAGAGCCAAGATGTGTGAGACCCTCTTGTGCTACAACTCCTTTTGAAAATTGCTGTATTCTTTCCGGTGTTGTTAGAAAGAAGACCACAAGCATTAAAAGCCAAGGAAGGTAGTTGTTCAGCTAGAAAGCCAAATTCGAATCCTTATTTAACACTAAAGAAGCATGTGGAGCTAGTTGCTCCGCTAGAAAGTCAATTCTTCAATCCTTATTTAACACCAAGGAAGTGTATGAAGCTAGTTGCTCGTGCTTGAAAGTCGAATTCATTATTGCAAATGCAAGTCCATATTCCTAACACGGAAGTGGAAGTGAAGCCTGTGGCAGATAACTACACAAAGAATGTATTGAAAGACGACCTCGCTCCATGCCCATTTCCCAAAAGCCAAGAAGAGAAAGAAAGATAAATATTGCAAGAATCCATTCCATACCACTTTCACCCTTGGTAACAAGATTCCAATTAACAACCCTTGGTTCCACAGCACTGAGAAGCTCGAGAAAGAATAATCCACTTGAAAGATTCTTATCCTAAACAAAATCCACGAATTCTAAGTCAGAATCAGATAGTCAAGGTTGAAATTACGCCAATTGAACAGGAACTAGTGATACTACACCTTAAAACTCTCCATTTTAGATGTTCTTCCAGTGCTTTTCACTTTTTTGTTTGCCCAAACTAGAATATCAGCGTCAGTAATCTCCTTCCCTCGGAAACGCGATCTCAAGTTCTTCAAAAGCTGAAGCATATTAAACCTCATCAACTGCCACAGGAAAGCTGGAAAAGGATGTAGGAGTGGAAACATAAGTCATGTGCTAAGAGGCACTAGTTACAAGGCTTGTACATGTCGAAATAGCAGATAATTCATAGAACCAAAAGTAAGATATTTAGTTGCATGAGCAACATAATCACATTGAAACACATACACAAGATGAGAAAGTTTGCACAGCGGAGCTCACATAATATGTAGACTGCTAAACCAAGAATTATGATGATTCAGTATTTGCAACCACTATTTAAAAGCTTTAAGAGTAATACAACTAAACTTCTTCATCCATTAAGATTAAAATGCTTTTTCTTTGACATCCAGTTATACAGACTACTCATTTTACAGGGTCTTAGAAGATTTCTGCAGTTTTAGCACCATAATAACTGATCACTTCCAACTATATATGACCAAAGACTATATGTAACAAATAGTTGAAATCTAACATCCTTAGTTTGCCAGCATATTAAAATTAAATCATTATACAGAACCATATAGAGAAAAATCAATTACAGTAGGATGATGAACTAAACGTTACTTGATGCTATACTTTATGATGACAATTAAGTAATAATACAAGCAAATTAATCTTTTCTATCTTTTGACAGGAGTTATTAGATAATATCCTCAACCACAATCCCACATCAGCAAGAAATCTACACAATCATGCGAAATCCATTTCATGAAAGGATTGGTAATTCCAGGTCCATAGAGTTTTATCAATTACCTTGAAAAGGAACCAATGCATTCTTCAGACAACATAGTAACTAGGGTAGGGACGGGAAACTTTTGGTGTTGGATGCAGTCAAGAATGATAACAGGAAGATAACCAAATAATGTATTCCAGCTTTCCAGCTCCACACAAATAAATATGATAATACAAGTCTAGATGAGACAGAATCTTGGAAGCTCAAGAAGATTAAAAAGCAATTAGGTTCCCAGAGAGCCATGAAGAGAAATAAGCCTCACTATGAAACATATAAATTTTGTTTTGCAACATTACCAAGTATAAGCTTCTTATTCCCTTGGACAAAGTCGTTTCCACCCACATTTACAAGGGAAAGTTTCAACTGCTTCCCAATCCTGACAACTTGGTTGCAGTTTTCAACTTTCCGAAATGGCATTTTAATTGGAGGTTTTGTTGCGTGCTTCCAATTAACAGATCCTGGAGAAACCTTGTCCAATACCTCCAAAAGTACCCATCTGCGGAAATGGATGGAGAAGTTGATGCGTCAAAGATAATAGCAGCTGAAGCAGAGGTATTTTCTACCTACAAATTCCAATTACTACATTTTTACTAGCACATGTCCTTTTTTGGTGTTTGGGGTGAGCCATGTTTATGCAGACCTATCACTTACCCATTTCTGACATCTTCAAACAAATTATTAACGTAAGAGTTTATCCCGAGACTATTAATCCATAGTCGGAAGCATCTCTCTTCCCTGGAAATTAACTCGTCGTCTGTCATCATCTCTGCAAAGGAGACCTTCTTGCTGTCAGTAGATAATCCACTCCTGAAAAAGAATAGCATTGCTCATAAAGGGCCTTTCTCTTCAATTAAAAACAACTAGCTACCCTCTCATCTGGCAACTAAAAGACAAAATCCAAACACTACATTCAAAGCAACTAAAACGCAAAGATTAGCCTCATTCAAATATAGAATAGCAACAAGAGGCTTCAAAACATCATTCAAAGGTTAAATGCAGATAGCAACTTTTATAGGTACATGCTTCTAGCTAATCAAGCTAAATGGAGCATCAAATAGGAATAACTTCCAAATAGACATTTCAAGCAACAAAGGAGAGGAAAACGAAGCCATACATGCACAAAAAATACATGATTAGCTCATATAGCGGTTAAAATTGTTTCTTGCGACTAATGTGATCTAAATCCTTTCTATGATTTGAGTCCCCAAGTATCACAGTGAGCGCAACTACAGAAGGAGCCACAAAAGATAAAAAGTGTAGCCACGTTAAGTTCCTACCTCTGGTGGAATATCTGTATAAGAAAAAGCAAGACCTAATTGGCTGAGCCGTCAACTATGTGCTTTATATCATGCTGAGCACAACAAAAGCCATAAAAGATAAAAAGAGTGTAGCCACGTTAGCTTCCTACCTCTGATGGAATATCTGTGCAACAAAAGCAAGATTTAAATTGGAAGAGCCTTCAACGATGTCCTTCGGATCTAGATATCTTTTGCAATCCATTTTCTCTGCATGCTCAAGAACTAAGTTAGCTCTCTCAGTGGGATCCTTGACATCCAAAGTCGCTGGGCTGCAATGCTCTGGTGCAAGTACATTAAGAAGGTAAGCATAGGCCTCCCCGTCCTGCAGAGAAAGCGTAAATATGTAATTGCCAAGAGGCCATATGCAGCTATGAAGGTAGATCTTTGAATTAAAACGGGTCAAGACTAGTCAAGGTGTAGCTTAGATATTACACTACACTGTTTTGCCATATTATACCATGAACTAGACTGGAATGTGCATTTGCATCTTCATTTCTACAATTAACTTTATAAGAAACTTAATACAAACTTTCAGAATCCAACTAGGATTCTCATCATTTTAAACGCAAAATCGAAGTCTTGACTGAAATGACATGCCTCCTACCAGACCTCAAATGAACTTTTGGGATCTGTCCTCTCTAATATTAAGGATAGAGCAGCAAATATGATTATCATTTAAATAAGTTCCACATTTCTTCTGATAAGTCGAAGTTATATATTCCACATATATTTCTTCCTCCCAAAAAAGATAATCCATTTGACTAGCAAGGAAATTGAGAAAAGGAGTTTAATTGGTAATCATATTATAGCTTACCACATATATTTAAACTAATATTAGAAGTGAGTGCGGAGATAGGGTAATTTGTTCCAAAGATCCGACATCAAAGGCAGAACGGAATCACTTCGAATTTTTTCAGATGCAGAACTGTCATTTGAAGAATTAAAAGTTGATCAAACCAATTAGATGAAATGAGTACTAAACCTTTAGGTTATTTCTAATTTTTAGAGAAGGAAAAATCCACTACTTACAGGGTTCAGGTAATCTGAGAACATATAAATGGGAAATTAGGTCAGTCAAAATTCAAAGGAGGGAGTATTACAATTTGGCATGCACCTTGTGATGTGGAATTAATTGAAGTATCATCTTACTCTGTAGAAACAAGAATACCTTTACAGAAAACTTCTTTACTTGTTGATATTGGGAGGAGAGGGGGGAAAAAGATAGTACATACATACCTTCAGGTCAGAAGAAAAATTTGCTACTGTTTTCTTGTAACCAGCTTTCTTTAGATGAAAATTCATCCATTTTAGTAAGAGCTTTTCTGGTGCTAACCCCATGAGCTCCTCAACATCCTGAACAAGTTAAGAATAATGGGATATTTGTTTGTATAGTTCGTAAACATGCAAATGGATGGGAAATAAAAGTACAGTCACGTTGGACAAGAGGAATTAAATTACATTGCTGTCCTCCACCAGTTCGACGAGCTGAGGGGTCTTCCGGAGGTTGAGATCTGCCAATAGTTGGATCTAAGATACCACAATTGTCAAGAACCGGGAGAGAAGAGTGAGAGAGAGAGAGAGACAGAGAAAAAGTTAGTAAAATCAACCCAAAGATATGAAGAGCAATGCTATTGCACCAAACATAATCTGCCATAACTATCATGCCCTTTTTCCCCAAAGGCTAGGCAGAGAACACAAAGGAACAGAAATCAGGAACTAACCTTGATAATTTGAGAAATCAGCCCAAGTACTAGATGAGGCTGCAAAGATGTAGAAAAATAATTGAACACACAACTCAGAGGTATATTGAGGTAATGCAAATGAAGAGGGCAAGATTCAACTCACTCGTCCTTCAACCAGGTCTTGAGTGCCAATATTAACAACAGTGCATCCAATAGCCTTTGCAGAATTGAGGCAAAGGGTGTGATTCTCATTTCTCTCCCATGGGTTGATTACTCGTTTCATGTTAATAGCTCGCTCGTCTATTGTGCCAGGTACAGCGACATTGATCAGCTTACTAGAGAACCACAGCAAGAAAACCATAATGAGCCAACAGAAACTCTTGTCATAAATTTGCACATACTTCGGAGTATCACAAAGCAGGTTAAGTTTAAATACCATAAAAGAACTCCATCCTTTGCCAGATCAAACAAAGCATTTGAAGCTGGATCGATTGGAAGAAATTGCTTTAAGAATGGATCGTCTCTTAGATAGCTGTTTATATGAGCTACATATGATGCTTTCTCTGATTCACTGATCGTATGAAGAAGTGTAGTTGTGGAGGCCTTCAGGAAGGAAGATGAATGTTTAGAACTGCCTAATTTAGAGGCAGCTCGAGCTTGCAGATTCAAGTATGTCTGTTCATTACAAGCAATGATTCAAATGTCACTAAACCAAAAATCCAGAATAATGAGGTCAAAGTACTATAAATTCCACTTACTAGGTAATCAGCTAGAATCCCCAATAACTAATTTACCTATGGATTTAAGTTATATACACCGATCAGTGTAGTAGTTATTTTGCTCTACCAGTGAATTTTAACGTGTGATAGCAAGTTAATTACAAAAAAAATACTAGATTATCAAGTAATTTAAATATAATTACCTAATAAGTGACCTAATTGTGTAAATAATCCATCAGTCTATACAATTTAAACTTGCTATGGATTTAAGTTATATACACTGATAATATATATATATATATATATATATATATATATATATATATATTTACAGTATTAGTGAATTTTAACATGTAACAGTTGATTAGTTACCATTTTTACTAGATTACCAAATAATGCCTATCAAGTAATTTCCGTGTAATTACCTGGCCTGAAACTCAATAAATATTTGTTCATTTCCATTCCATCAATGGCAAAAGAGTAAACAAACCAAATGTCACTAATGGAAATAAATATAATTAACTTAATTAGATACTCACTTTAAGGAAGCTTTCGAAATCAATCTCATCGTTGACGTCGGAACCTGATTCAGCCAAGATATTTCGGATCTCTTCCTCATTAAACATCTCATTGAAAGCCTTTAATTTCGCCATCAAAGGCGGCAAGTCTCCAATTGTTACTTTTCCATTCTGATTCTTAACTGAAATGAACTAACGAGTCCAAAAAAACAAATAAAACAGTAAAAATCATTAACTCTTAACAACAAATTAATCAACATGGACAATCGGAAAACAACACATTAAGGAGATAAAAGAGTCGAGTCTTACTTTGGATTTAAGGCTGCGAAGTTCGACTTGAGTGAATTGACTTTGAAGCCATTGATCAGAAACAAAAACACCAACGAAAGACATCACCAATTACTATTTACTAGTAATTAAATAGCTGTAGCAACTTGTTTTCTTATACTTTTCAAGCTTTGACTGTTTTTGTCAATAATAGAAAAGAGACTGTAACAAAGAGAGAGATGTGGTGTTTGCTTGGATATGGAGCAAAAACAGAGGGGAAGAGAGAGAGAGAGAGAGAGAAGAGAAGTTTTGGGCAGAGGACACGCAAAGACTATGAGGCGGAGAAGGGCAGTTAAGGAAGGGGGCTTACTGTGATGGAGGCCCACTTTGATAAGGTGGGTACCATATAAATGTTAGGAGCTTCTTCTTTTGAACAACTCATCCTTCTATTTTACACCTCAGCATTTATTACGTCATTTTTTGTATTTATCTAGGAGATTTTTGCACTTTTCTTTTTTCTTCTTGGTTTACGACGTTAGTTAAAGCATTTCTTTAACTCTTTTTTTCCTTCGACAATGGAGGGTTTGGGATGTTGGATTTCGAAAGAAAAAAACTTGTATCAAATTAATAAAATTATTGAGACACTTGTGTTAAATTGAAGTCATAATTTAAATTTATAATTATATGCAAGTCATTTGTGCCTTATTCATTATTTTGATGTAAATTTTTGCTTGAAATAACTACTCCCTGTTCACTATAAACTTTACACGCCCCTTGAAAAATAGTAGATGAAATGCATAATTTACCATGATACTCAACTCATATCCAAATATACCGGTCTCAAATATTTGTATTCCCCAAGAAGATAATTCATCTCATAGAAGCCATATGCAAGAAATTCTTATGGTATTAGGGAGTTGAGGTGACAAAAAAGCTCTAGTGGCATGGGATAAACTATGTCAACCAAAAGCAAGTGGGGGCTGGAATCTGCTAGATGTTGAGTTGTGGAATAAAACTGCAATATGTAAGCTATTATGGAACTTAGCTCAAAAAACGGATAAACTCTGGGTGGTATGGATTCATACTTATTATGGAAAAGGAAGACCTATAAAACACATAGAAGCTAAGCAAACTTCATGGTTGGTACAGAAGATCTTGAAGGCTAAACAATACATGATAGAAGTTGGGGTCAACTTGGATGAGATACTTGACAAGAAGCACATAACCATCAACTATATATACAAGAAGCTGAAGCAGGATCACGAGAAGATGCCTGGGAGGAAGCTGGTATATAACAATGGAGGTATGCCAAAGAGGATCTTTATTCTGTATGTGGCTATACCGAGCAAATTGGCTACAAGAGATAGATTAGTACGATGGGGAATAACAAATGAGTTGTTATGTCCTATGTGCAATGTAGAAGAGCAAAGCATGGAACACTTATTTTTCAAGTGTACATACACATCAACAATTTGGGAGAAACTACTACAGTGAATGAATGTTAATAGACAACCGATGGAATGGAGTCAAGAAATAGAATGGGCATGCAACAACGTTCGAGGCAGATCAGCAAATGCAGAAATGTACAGAATAGCATTAGCAAGCTGTGTCTATTATGTATGGCAGGAGAGAAATCATAGAATTTTCAGAGCTCAACTGAGACCAACAGGAGTACTGATAAAGCAGATTATACAAATGGTTTGTGGAAGGGGATATTCGTTGTCAAGATTGAGAAGAAGATTAGAAGAGTTAAATTTCTACCTTAATGCAGTTGTTAATTCATAGTTAGTAGGTAGAAATAGAAGTATAGGAGAAACTAATACCGGGAAGATGTCCAGAATTAGTGTTTGTTTTTGAGCTGTAATTTCGTTCTTGGTAATAAAATATGATAATTACCAAAAAAAATTAATGTCTATTTTTAATGAATTTGAGAAAATAATTTGAAATGAGTAATTAATACTATGGGTATATATAACAGAAAAAAATTATCGTCTCTTGATATATTAAAAGTGAGAAGTAAAAATAAAAATTTATTTTTAGAATACTCGATAAATAAAAGAGAACGGAAAAAGTATTTCTTAAGCATATAGAGAAAGGGATTGAGGCTAGTCAGAGAACGAGAACTATCTAAGGAGTAGGCTAAGTAGCAACTGTCAGGTAAAAGTAATCCTTTATGTTTTAGGTCGGCCTAAAATAATCGTTGACATGTACATTTTTTTTGTTATGTATTTATTAAAATTGAGTACCTTTACGTTATATCTAAAATACAATGTGATAGTTATATCTTGGGGAATTGGCTCGAAAGTATTTAGACTAAAGAAAAATCGGGACAAACTTCTCCCAATTTAGTTCTCGCAATTCGTACCTGAAAAGGTCCGAGAATAATCCAAACAAATATTGGTATTAATAATTATTAAATAATTGATAAAATTGAGAAAAAAAATGCCCTTTTATCTTATGATTCATCAAAAACCAAAAAGCAATCAAAAAAATTCGAAAAAGACTTTTTGATAGGTAGGAATGAATGAAAAATATTAAATTGTCTCAGAATCTGGAATCTATATATATATTAAAGCAAGAAAGTTACCATATATAATTGACATTATGGTTAAGCCAAGTGACAAGCTAATAAATGTCAATAGTATATGATAACTTTATTCTATATTTGGTTATTTTAGTTAAATACAAATAACATAATATAATATACTATAATATATACACACACACGGAATTTGAATTAAAAGATAATTTTGAATTTATAGATAAAGTTCTAAAATTCAAATTAAATTAAAATAAAATTTATCTTTTTTATCATGTTATCATACTTAATTCGGTTAATGATCATATGTAATCATGTTATGAACTTTTTTTATTTTTTATAATTATTTAAATACTATTTCGCCTCTAACCAAAAAAAAAATACTCCATATAACTATAAAACTCTTTCACATTTAAAATCCTATAAATATAGTTCTTTGAAACACTGTAGCTAAATTTGAATAAAGCGAAATTCTTTTAAAATAATGTAATATATAGGGTACATGTCTATGTTTATCTAAATAAAAAAAAGAGTTTACAAAACCAAATAAAAGTTTACTTACTATATAATAAAGTAAACATACATGCTGGAGAAAGAAACATCACAAAATCAGTCAATATTAAAAATAAAAAAAAGTTGTTTCTTTTTTCTTCTTAAAGAATATATGTTTGAAGAGTCAATTTGCATAAATGGACATCAAAAAAATAACAAAACTTTGGCTATACAATTGCTATCATTAATTTCAATTTAACACATTTAAGAAATTGAAGGATATAAGTTGAAACCCCTTCATTTAGCTGTAGTCAATCCAATATTGCAAGGGTATAATATTTTTTTCGTTGAAAGAATATTAGTTTTGAATCATTAGATTATATGAAAGATTTGTTTTTTCAAACTCAACAAGAGATAAATTGGTTTCTAATTGATAGTTTCTATAGCGACTTTTAAGTGTAACAAAGAGTATATATAAAGAAAAAATTGGTATGATGTGAAATATTTTTTTTTAAATGTAAACAAATTAATTCGAAAAAACTCTTTACTTTTTTTAATTCAAAGATAATAAAAAGATAAGATATTTTTGAATATTAGTAGAGAGTTTTAAAATTATTATAATAAAAATTATATCATGGATAAACTCAAAAAATCGAAATCTTATGGAATATTTACATAATATCCGGCCATATTTATTGTTTACTTTTTATAGCTAATATAACTAGATGATATACCGACAACACACGATTATACACATATTATATATAAATTACACATCATTCAATTTTTTAATTTAAGTGGTCGGATGAGCACTTATTTAGGTTGATTAGATAAAGCCAAAAGAAAAATATGAAATAATTTCAACCAAAAACTAAAAATATAATTAAAGTTCATATGTAGACAATTTTTATTAAAACTCATCCTTTTATAGTGAAATAAATTAATTTTTTGTAACAAAAGAAATAATGACATAAAAAATAAGATAAAAGAAAATAAATATTGAAAGAAATGTTAGAAAGATCTAAAAACGAGAAATAAAAGACGACAACAAATTTCTTCTTATGTTTCATCTTTATTGAGTATAGAAAATTTGAAAGTTAATCATCGAGTTCAAATATTTTTTTTTCAACTCAAATATATATATATATATATATATATATATTATAAGATAAGGATATATCCAAATATTTTTTTTAATTTATATTATGTGTCGTTTTTAAAAAATCACCATTACTAACAAAACTGATATGATATTCGAATTTGAATTGGAATGCAATTTGAGTAGTTTGCATTGAGGTTAAGCCAAGTGTGGTATCGAATAATAAACTACTTGATAATTTTAAGACAATATATGCAATGTTCTATAATAATAATCAACTAATTTAACATTTAATGATTCAAAGAACAAAATTTTTGTATATATAGGGTATTAAATATTTAAATTCTAGGGCTAGCAATATCGATAAACTTAAATTGGAGTCATACTGAAATAAATCTGGGTAAAGAATTATTTAAATTTTTAGATAGCCGATTAAAGTGAATTTTAAATAAGGGATAATATCTTCACTTGCATCATTATAAATATAATTATTATTATAATATATATAAAGTTTTAGAAATTGAAATTTCAAAATAGATATATTTTTGAAAGATAAATCATACCAAATAAGAGTTCAAGTCGTAGTATAAGAGTCATGTCGTAATCAAAGAATCGTTTATATCATGTCAACCTTTGTGCTTTGTCATAAATATGAGTTATTATTTCACTTTGTGACTATTTTTAGGTTCCAATGATACCTATGAGAATAATGCAAAAACAAAATTATCATTAGGAGAATTAAGAAAAGGTTAATCTTTTTTTATGTAGTATTTCTTAATTAATATCTGACTATTATCTATAATTATTTAGAAGGTTTAAATGTTAAGGTTATTTACATATAATTCAAATAACTCACATATTTAACATTGTTAATGTCAAATATCAAAATGGAGTAAAAAAAATTCAGCAGCTAAAGAATTTTTTATATTTTTAGATAGCCAACTAAAATGAGTTTTGAATTAAGAATAGTATTTTCAATTACATTATTATAAAAATAATTATTATTGAAAAATAATATTTTAGAAACTGAAATTTTAAGAAAGAAATATTTTTTAAGAGATATCAACATACCAAATAAGAGTTCAAGTAGTAGTAAAAGAGTTAAATCTTATCCAAAGAGCCATTCATTGCCTCAATATTTGATTGTTTTGCCATAAATATGAGTTATTATTTTGCTTCCTGACTATTTTTAGGATTCAATGACACCGGCAAGAATGGTATCAAAAAAG